AAAAAATCAATTTGATCTTTTGCTTTGGCCACAGTGCAGAAATTAAACGTTTCTTCAGATGTTTCCACAGACTCAACACAACCAACCACTGGGTCCTGGACCAAAATCAGGCCGAGGGTCAACGCTGACAGGCCGCACTGCAAAAACACAAGGAAATGTATTTATAGTAATGTATTTATTTATTTCAAATATATATATATATATATATATATATGAAATTATATGTAAACTGTAGATGTATATTATCATATCAATATACATATATAAATTTAAGAACATATATGTATACATGTATTCATATATATGTATGTATATATATATACATTTATATATATACATATATGTACATATATTTATACATGTATTTATATGTATGTATATATATACATATATGTACATATATTTATACATGTATTTATATGTATGTTTGTATATATATATTTATAAATACATGTATATATTTATAATTATTCATATGTATTTATAAATATGTGTATATGTATATATATACACATATATATATTTATATATGTACAGTATATATGGGGCCTGTATTAGTCAGAGCGCCTACACCGCAGTAATTGACATTCAGCGCCGACTTCTCTCTGCTCTTCAGGGATTCAAACCCATAAATACGGTTTCATTAGGTGTTTGCAGTAAAACCCAGAGCAGCTGATATCTGACGTGTACTTCAGAGTACTGAGGTGACTCTGACAGATACTGATTCAGAGCGCACAGACGGTGTCCTGACACGGACCGTGTCGTCCCCAGACTTAGTGTCGGTGTCACAGCGTTCGCTGGTACTCGCTGGTACTCGCTGGTACCTGCTGGTACCTGCTGGTACCTGCTGGTACCCTGCCGCTCCAGGTGCGGCCGCCTGGACGTCCCTTCCAAACGACTGTTAATGAAGGAGCTCATTAAGGATCAGTGGTTGTTCTACTCTCTTAATGAGGGCCACACAGCTGCTCATTACGCTCAGGCCATTAGGCTTTGTCTTCCCACCGGTGGCTGGTGTCAGCTCCACGCCTCCTTCTCCCCCGCGCCTCCTTCTCCCCCGCGCCTCCTTCTCCCCCGCGCCTCCTTCTCCCGAGGCGCTCCTCTGGAGGTTGATAATGGAGCGGGTTAGAACATGTGGCAACATTTCAAGTTCCTGTCACTGTCCAAGGTTCGGGCATGTTTGAAAACAGAGCAGAGGTCAAAGGTCAGCCGCCCGTGTTCTTCATGTGTTCTACCGAACATGTAGCGCCCCCACTGGACAAACAGCAACAACGACTCACTCACGCAGGAAGGCCCATATATTTGCCTCTAATTTATTTTTCACGCGAGCAAATCTGCGGAATATTCCAGGGACGTGTATTTAACGTGTTCTCCTGGAATATTCACCGTAGGAAACGAGGGATCATTAACGCCATTTCAAAAGTGCTCACTTTCAGTGGAAGCTCCTAATTAACTTCCATTTCTTTTTCTACCGTTTCTCCGCTGCTGCCTCGCGCCACTTAATAGGTAGCCCAGACATTCCACTCCCCAGCAACGCTTCACCGTTTCCCCCGAGGCGCCGTGAGGTGTTCCCAGCCCAAATGAGACGTGTAGTCTCTGCAGGTTCTACATCCATTACTGGAACGTCAGTGGGCGGAGCTAAGAAGGAAGCACCGACCAATGGTGCTGTGTCTTCAACTGTAGGGATTTATGGTCCCACCGTGTCTCCTTGTCAAGGTCACGCTGTGAACTATATACTGTGAACTGTGAACTGTGTACTGTGTACTATATACTGTGTACTATATACTGTGTACTATATACT